TCTTCCCTCTTACGAACACACGGCCCACCTTCCTCGCCCCGCTTCCCCTGCTGGTAGTCCACCTCCTCCTCCTCCTACTCCTGCCGCTTACAGTCTCGTGTTCCCGCTCTTTCCCCTCTGAAACAAGCCGTCGTGCTTCACCGCTCCACCCCCCTCGGTTGCCACCCTGTTCACCCCGTCGCCCTCTTCGCGCTACGTCCCGCCGAAGTTTCCGACACACCGGTAACTTATCGGAATTTACTCGTTACTCCGAATTCGTGAGCGACCGCGTGCGCCCACGATAACGTCGCGCGAGACCGCGCTCGCTCGCTCTCTCGCCAGTAGAGTGGTCTGGCGAGCTGCGCGGGACGGATTGAAGAAATCGGAGACGATGGTACCCACGTAAGACGATCCTGCGCGGGACACGGTAATTAGGTGTCGCTATCGATTCCCCAGACGTTGTCGATCGCGACCACGTCGGGTAATTAATTACGAGACGAGCGGAGCCACGGTTGCCGCGCGGTTTGATCGGTGCGCCTCGACGCAACGCGACGCGGGAAATCCTCTATTCCCTTTCGTTTCGACGGTGTCTCCTCTTTTCGCAGGTAAGCGTATGCACATTGATACGATAGATTTGCGTTTGTCGTTTGGTATTCAGCGTTTGAATCGAGAGCTGGATCGACATCGTTCTGAATAAAACATTCATGCCGGAATCATTCGCGACACTTCGCTTTTAGCTTATGAATGAGTATAATTTGAATCAGGAGGGAATCTCGTTGCGATAGTTAAAGGTCCGTGGGTGTACTCGTATTTGTACGAATGGTACGTTTTATTTTGTTACTGTATTTCTGTGCTTGGTTGTTGAGAGTAGAATTTGATAATGTTTCAAATTGTACTATTCTGGGAAGGAATGGGACAAGAAGGAACTGGTAGCGCTGATGTCTTATTTAAAATTGACGACAGGAATCAAAATGAAATGGAGACAATGTAACATTATCATTCTTGTCCCATCATTTTAAGATCGTTACACATTTCTCGTTATTTTTCCTATCTCAAATAGAAACTAGGAAAGCCGTTCGTTTCCATGAATGCTTGAAGTCTTTATAAACAATAAACGTTGGAGATGGAAGCCTAACGTGGAAACTATCGGAATATTCGAATGATCAGTGGCTCTGTTACCTGTTTCCTTTTCGATCAACTTGAATAATCGAATACTCGGCTCGGTTCATTGCAACGACTTTTGTCGGGCTCGGATTTCGAGTGTTCGGTAAGCTCTAGTCGATAATTGGCTTGGTATCGTCCTCGGTCGAGAGATTACCGTGAAAAGCAATCGTGTTGTTTGACGCTCACCGAGGAAACTGTTGTCGGGAGAATAGGTAAGGAGGTTTAGCCACAAATACTAATGGCGCGCCGGCTATACGCTCGTGTCCCTCCCTCTTCGTCCCCATTTCTCTCTCTCGTTTGCCTGGGAATGATACGATGAACGATACAAGGCGGAGATAGGTTATTACACGGCTGTGTTATGAGATACGATACGTAACAGCGAAGAGGAGAAGAAAAGTGACTAACGGGGCCGACAAAAGCCGAGCGAACGTGTGCCTACATATTGCCAGCCAAACAGGCATGCACATATGCTTATTAAACAGTAAATATAACGTAACTTAGCTGCACCTGAAGCAACGTAATTTTACGTAGACGGGTGCACGAGAACGCGGTACTCGTCATAACGTACCGAGTTACGATAATTAATTAAAATCCAGCCCCAAGCAAGGAAACTGCACGCTCGTCCTTAAAAAGGGCGCATGCACACTTTAATATACTAATTATCGAGTTACCAACATCCGATATGCAGTCGGCACTTTGATATTAAAAGTTAAAAATTGAATAAATGAATTCGCTAGATTCTAGTGAATTTAAACCATTCCAAAACGAATTTTTTTAAGTATACGGCGGTAATTTTGCGATAAAGTCTTTTCGTAATCATTTTTACGAATGTTGGATTGGTAGCTGATTTAGGTAAAGAAATGATAATATCTGAAACGCATATCATCATAATAGCACGGATTCACGGTTGTATTACGAAACAATACAAGGCGAAGTTCTTCTGTACGTAAAATATCATGAGACCTGGGAAATGTAAGAACTATCGAATCGGGAAACATTGGAATGTTTCCAAAAAAAGAGATCATTACTTTGCTATGGCTCCTGGCTGCCCCTGGAAACTCTCCAGAAGATATATAGCGTCGACTCTTCATGTAATATCGCTGAAGGTCTGTTTTTCAAAAAGCCGAAACAAAATTCAAATATGTCCGTTGGAAGGATTCACAGCTACTTCAGAGTATATGAAAGTAATATGAAGCCTTTGCTTCGCCATTCTTCGTACAACTTTCAGCTCAAGAATTACCTTTACATCCTCCGCAAAATTATTTCGAACATGCCACGTTAAAATTTACGCTAAATTAATTGGCGAATGGAACGTATAAAATTTAAAATATCCAGATACAAACAGCTGTTAAGAAATACTTCAAGCTTTATATTTTTGAGTAAACGGGCACCAATTCCGTAGTAAAATGAAGTGTCCCGCCAACAATAGGGTGCGTTGTGTACGCATAAGTAGACGTGTGAATAATGACCTCGGCTGGCCATTTCCGTTCATAAAGTTATAATTAGAATTGCTATTCTATAAAATCTGTCAACTCGTCCGCGAGGAGGCAACGAAAAAGGAATACGCAGACGGATCCTTTATCCCCGTGCATAGGTGTCCTTGCATTATTCAAAGTTAAAGTCGCACACGGTCATTATGAACCCGCACAATCCCGTTTTGTTTCCGTGCGATAATCGCGTCGTGGATCAGGCAAATTGCAGGTTGCGCGCGTGTGCGAGTTTTTTAGCTGGCTCCGGGAGAGGCGAGGCACAGCCGAGCGGTGTACATAATACGGTCCTCGCGAAACCTTGCCGACTTACCAGCAGTGTTGGGTAACTTTCGTACGTGTCTAGTCACGACCCGCGGCCATGTCCAACAAGTTGTCGACATCGCGCCGGTAAACACGGCAACCGATAGAGACTGCTCGACATTAATCACTCGGGACGCCCGTCATCCGCCTCATCTTCGATCCCGCGGAAGACGTTTCCGTCGATCCCGAGCAGGCAGACCCGCTCGGTACACGCACGGATGAACTGGCGTCCCTCCAAAGCGCAAATTTCGCGTGTGGATTACCGACCGGAAGTGAGAACAAGACGCTCTTATCCGTGCTAGCGCCGTTTAAACATGAATCATTTCGCCTGAAGGAGACGGTCGCAAGTCTGTCTTCGTTCTAAGTGGACGAAGCGGGAGAGACGACAAATGTTTCAGCGAAAGAGGTTCTCTTTTACGTATCATACTTTTCGCGTTAGACACGGATGACTAATAAACGTGGAAAGTTGAAATCTTGGAAGCTTTTCGAGAATTTAAATCTACTATTGCCAAGACGTCAATGACTCAAAACATATTGTTATTCATACCTATTTGAACGACACAATAATTGAATATTTTTAGTGTTCGTATTATTTATCGTACAAATACTGAACGAGAATAAATAATGATATAATTGAACTTTAGATGTGAAAGTAGCAGCCTTCGAAAATATTAAATTCATCGTCGATATTTCAGTTTATCGTTGTGTACGTTCCAGGGAACGATGATTCCAGTGATAACATGTTTTGCTTCGTCTACCGTTAAAATTAATTGCACCAATTCCACGTGTTGAAAGTGAGCATTGAATATATTTTTAATGGTGAGAAAGCATCCGTTGGCGCAGTCCCTTCCCTCGCAGGAGTCAGTTATTTTGCTGAGAAGAACAGCCATTTTTATTGCACGCGCTGAGTGTCTTTTTTTCCCGCTTCGTTCGGCAGTTCACGGTTCCGTTTTGTAAATCACCTTCTTAAAATACATACTAATAAATATACACTTAGTTTCAAACTCTGTTGTGTTTATTTTAGCAAATAAATATTCAACACCACGTACGTCCGTTCGAGCGTTTCGGTGCGACAGTGCGTGTTCGACTTCGCGACGCTGCTAGATCGCCGGCAATCAGAGTGCGAAAGGCGGCCGATCAACCGGGGCCAATTACGGTGTTCGACGATGTAGCAACGCGGTCTGAGCCGCCGCTCGGCCAAAGAAGACAGCGCAAAAACGGAGGAAAAGAGCGAGAAAGAGCAAAACAGAATGGCAAATCTGGGTCACGACCCAAATCATTCTCCTCCGGCCTCCGTTTGAATCTTTCGCAATGCACGAAAGTGCCCAAAGCATTTCGAAAGCCCCTCGCCCAGGCCGAACAACACTGTTTTGCTTCCCGCGAGCTTTCCTCGTTTTCTCCAATTGAATCTCAAGCGAGCCTCAAATAAGACCGCCGAGCGGCAGACGTGCATTACGTATATATGTATACCATGTCGAGGCTTAAGCATGGATATTTCATGCGCCGCATGAAACGTTGTTCATATCCTTGCAATAGCACGGAGCTTCTCAGACGCGCGGTTTCTTACCTCTTCCGTGTTGCTACGTTGCACCAGATTTAACGAACGATTCGTATTCGAGTGCATTTGCACCAGAATGCTAATAATTGAATGAAAGTCTGTAAATAAGTGTAAAGTTAAAATAATTGTGCCGTACATTACTGCGATCTCGTGCTCGCGTATCTCATACTCATCACTTAGGTATATTAGAAAGCGATTAACATTTC